TGGCCCAGATTGAATCTGAACCAATCTGACTGTCATGACCTCATTTCGTGTTTGAATTTTAATTTTTTTCTACAAATTCAAATCACTTGAAATTTTAGACATGCGTTCTTCTCATCAAGGAGCACTTAATAAAAATATTTAAAAAATAATTCGCAAAAACAATATTGACAAAAAAACCCCCGAAATATTTTAGGGGTATTTTGGTCACTTTATTTCATGTTAAATATTTTTTTGATATTTTTATTAGATTCTCTTATTTTTGAAGAACACATGCCGAAAATTTCAAGTGATTTGGATTTGTAGAAAAAAAATTAAAATTCAAACACGAAATGAGGTCATGACCGTCAGATCGGCCCATACCGGTCATGTTAGTCCCAAACCCGACTAAAGGAGGAGGGTTGTGTTAGGTAGGCAGTAGGCAACTAGTGGAAAACTTTGCGATATCTTTTCATGAATCCTGAATTACTGGAATATTGGGTCGTTGAGATAAGGATGTTGAGATGGATGAGTGGTAAGACAAGAAAGAATAGAATTCAGAATGAAAACATTCGAGAAGATCTAAGTATGACTTCAATAGCGATAAGATGAGGGAAACCTTCAAGGGTGTTTTGGTTAATTTATTTTTTATAAAGTATTTTTTAATATTTTAATTAGGTACGCCTATTTTTCAATAGTAGACGCTCCAACTTCAAGTGATTTGAATTTGCAGAAAAAACTAAAATTCAAAGCTGAAACACGAGTGCAACGCTGTTTGATTGTCCAAGATTCAATCAGGGCCATTGAGCTTATACAATTACATCAGCCCTTGGGCTGACACATTGTTTTTCTTATATACATACATATATATATATATATATATATATATATATATATATATAACTAACTACTAGTAGTAAGTTAGTAGGTAGGTACTATTAGTATTAGTTAGTAGCTTAGTCTTCTATATAACTTTACCTATATATATATATATATATATATATATAAGAACAAAAAGCATAAACAGACACTTACATCTTACATATTATTACAATAACTGGAGAACAACTTCCAGTTGTGAGGACAATACGATGGGAGTGTGTAGAAATTACAGTCGCACATAATAAAACAGAGATAATTAAAGACTAGGATAAGAGAGAACCTGGTTGTGATTGAAGCAAAAAAAAGATAAGGATATGTTCAAACTGACAAAATGAGCTGTAAGGTCAGGACAGCATAGGTGGAGCCGGAGTGAAGGTCGAGAAGGTTTTTAGAAGAAGAGAGCTTAGAAGAGTAAAGAGCTTGTGAGAGAAGAAGAGAGCAAAGAGCTTTCGAGCGCTTCGAGACCTGCTGAGAATGAGGAGTCATGCCTCCTTTTATAGGCGAAGGCGGATGAAAAGGTCGTGGCAAAAGAAGATGCCGAAGAGACAAGGATGGGAAGAAAAGAGGAGAGAAAAGACGTAAAGAAAAAGAAAGATGCTTGATTTGACTTAAAGAAGCATCTGTAATAATAATTGTTTGTCTTTTATGTCGGCAGCACAGTGGTCTGGTACGGCGAGTATCCTGAAACAGTATCTTGATGGTGACATAAGGTGACATGGTACGGGTGGGAATCTTTATGTCGGTGCATGAGGTGGCATGGCTGAGAATCTGCTTTATCAGGTCAGGCTTCTTTATGGTTTTTGGCTGAACTCATTGGGGTCTTCTTCTTCATCCGGGTCTGTTTCTTCCAACGGAAAGTATCGATTGGCACGGTTGGGAGATGATTGAACTGTTTCATCTGAAGAAACTGGGTTGCGGCCTGCTTCAGCAAATATTTTTTGCATTTGTTGTTCAAGAGTTTCTTTGGTGGCATAGGGATTGGTTTGGAGCATATTTCTGAGATATGTACGGAAGTTAAATGAAGTGTTGGCGGTAGCAGTATTATAAGTAGTAGGATTGGGATTATAAATAGGTTTCTCTAGTGGTATTCTTTTGGGTACAATAGTATTGAGATCCATGTTGAAAATATCCCACCACTTTACAGAGATGGTTTTTCCCAAGCGAGGAATATAGGTAAAATCGGCTGTATTATTAGAAGTCAATGAGTATTCCCATTTCATAATCCATGGGAGTTGATATAAGGTGACAAAATATAAATGTGGTTCAATATTGCTATCAATCTTATTGAATAATTCAAATTGCTCATGTGCTTTCTTAAAAGCAGGAGGTAAAATATCACTTTTAGAACCCCATATAAGAAACCAGTTTTTGAACCAACTCCGGAATTGGATGTACCAACTATGAGTATTATTTGGATTTTGATAGGAAAATGTTTTATGCCATGCCTCAATATACTCTGCATACTTATAATATTTATAAGAAAAGTCTGGATTATCTAATTTTTTCCCTTGGGTGAGGTTGCAACCCCACTCCTCATAGGATAAAATCTTTTTTATTTGCATTTTAGAGTATGCAATAACTCTTGTATTTTGTTGATAATAATGGACCGCTGAGACGGACCCTACTTCTATTAATATGGCTTCATAGTATTCTCGGGTTTTAACTCCATTTGTGGGATTGAGATGGTTGATCAAATAAAGAGGAGCAAGTTTGGTTGGGTTCATATGGGTATGTTGATCCTCGATGGTTATATCCATGAGAAAAGCCGCTTTTGTAAATGTGGAACGAGGAGCATTTGGATTAGGCCTTTGGGATGGCCTAGACTGAGCCGATGTAAAAGCTGGGGTTGATGTATTATGTTCTGGGTAGGTTATTTGATGTATAAGTGAAATGGATGGTGAGAGAGTAGCCAACGGCAGACTTTCAAGTAATGATGGTACTATATCAAGAGGGCGTTTCTCGCTGTGAGAATTGCTGCAAGTGCCCATTGTAGTGGATAAGTCAGGCGTATTATTTTTATTAGCTGCAAAGAGCTGTAGTGCAAGTGAGAGTGGTGTATCGTCGTTGGCGTCAGTGTGGCCCTCCCTGCAAAAATTCACGGGTAAGAAAATCAGGTAAGGAATTAGAAGAGTCGTGCAGATGTTCAATAGTGAAATCGAAAGCAGAGAGAATCGCCTGCCAGCGAGCAAAAATTTGTTTGGAAA